AAAAACAATAATGTAAATTGTTTAATATTTTTGCTACACTTTTGTTTTTATGTTAAACAAAGAGTTGGGATGTAAACAATTTTATTTTTATTTTTTGTACAATTTGTACAAAATGATTAATTAAAATATCCGGAAACATACAGTCTGCAACCAGTCCAATACAGGGATTTATTATCAAGGGCATATTTAATATAATATAATAATTTAACAAAGTTATAATAAAAATTATACCATAAATACCTTTGTACATTTATGTCTGTATTTATCTTTTTACTATTTATTTCATACAACTCTAAATATACACAAAACAATTAATTCTGCTTTTAATGACCGAAATATTTAATAATTTAAAATTTAATTTATTATAAATACTTTAATTATTATTTATAAAAAAATAATTATTATTATAAAACTATAGTTTTAATCAGTAGCAAATACTTATAAATGATGTCTGTTATTTGGGGGTGCGAGGGGTCCGGCTTGAAATCGATCGAGTTTATTGATATACCGGTAGAGATACTCGCCGGGACAGGAGGTCTGTCTGCGCACATCCCGGTGCCCGTGAATGCGGTAATGGCCGCGAATGTGACCACTCCTCACACCGCAAGCGATCAGACTCTCCAACGCCGTCAACATCTCTGCCGACGGTTTTTCATCGTTAAAATTGCCCACAAATGCCACACCAATCGACTCCCGGTTCCAGTCCAGCGTATGAAAGCCCTCCCGAGTCCAGCCCAACCCCTCAAACACCTGTCCGTTGCCTCCTATCAAAACCGTAGAAAAACTCATTATTAATTTTAATTGCAATTTATTTGCCTTTTTTACAACCAATGAGAAAATTCCAGGCGATGTCTGTCCAGCCTTTGTTGAGCTGATGGTAACTCTGAAGGGATCTGATCCGTACGCCACACGTGTCCTCCGAAAAGCATGTGTTTCCGTCGTCGGTGTGATGGATAAAGACGTGTTCGGCCGGTCCTATACTCGGCACCACATTTGACGCATCCCTAGCCCGCCATCGCTGGCGAGTGATTATCTCCGGACACGGGCTGTATGTTTGATGAACGCTGGGATCTAATGGATAGTGTTGTATCAAAAACAATACATTATATATTATTAATGGGTGTCTCACTTGATCCGGAAGAGCAGTCATAAGAGCCATAACAACAGACACCGCCAGTAGAGCACAGGTTATTGACGGAAAAGCCTTTGCAACAGAACTGATCCAAAGTGCAGAAGCCGTGCCGGTTGTCGGCATCGGTGGTGAACTCGCACTGAGCGGCAACCAGTGATGACTTGGAGCACAAGTGTATCAATTGATACATAATTATAATCATTGAATGCAAGAATAAATTCATTATTGTTTGATATATTTGAGTAAAAACTCTTTTGATTGAATGACTGTCTGAAAAGTGACTCAATCCATACGCGGAAGGAGTAATCCCCTCATTATCCTAAGGGATACTAATAAATTAACGTATCAACAAATCCAATACTATTAGATGAAATCTCTCTCTCTCTCTCTCTCTCTCTCTCTCTGAGAGAGAGAACTTGGGAACAAGTTTATGAACACAACAATAAAAAACAATAATGTAAATTGTTTAATATTTTTGCTACACTTTTATTTTTTATGTTAAACAAACAGTTGGGATGAACTTAATCTAATTAAACACTTATATCCCACTCTTGAATGAAATGTTATGATTGCTAAACAGATTATAAAGTAAAATAAACTTTAATTAAAATGTTATATTCAATTGTTGTCTATAATGTTGTAGAAGTGTTTAAACAATTTACTTGTTTCCCATACAAGTCAGCCCTCATTCAATATTAAATGTTTATTGTTATTGAAAATTACAATAAAACGATTAATACTTAATCAAATAAATGTAATATTTATATGAGGGTTAAATTTTTATTTATAATAATTTAAACAATTAAAATTAATAACATTCAGTATTGTACTATTATTGATAACTTAAAATGTAATTTAATATAAAAGAGTATTAACAAATATATTTTAATAATAAATTTTAAATGACAAAAGGACTTTTTGGGCTATTATTAGTGTTGTCATGAATGTAACTTACATATCTTACAGACGTAATTTACAGTAAATTACATCAAAATTTGAATCTTACATGTAACTTACAAATGACCATTACTTATCATTCCGCCAACAAATGCTTTAATTTAAGCAAAATTTAGTAATTATGACTCGAACAACAATTTTAAAGAAATAATTAATATTTCATGTCTTTAATTTAAATTAGATGTAATTGATCTTTAAATAATAGCTAATTTATAGATAATTAACACTAATATTCACATATTAATTATTTAATTAAAAGTTGAATTTTACGGAATCTTACGGTAAATTACGTAATATTACATGTAACATAAGATTGAAATGAATATTACGTGTAAAATACCATCACTAGCTATTATACACTTAATCATGATTATTTAATTGGTTAACCATTTACAGCGCTTTGTACCATGGTACTTTATGTTTATAGTCCTTTTATACACACTCTTTGAGCTCATATTTGATACACACTCTCATTGATAGCCCTTTTGTATTGCAATACATTGTCAGCTGTTTTACACACTCTTATAATTCAAACTTAAATCTAATCTTAAATCTATGCAAACATTTTTCAATCAAAATTATTTCTGCTCACAATTTCATAGCAATTGTTTTGTTACAGTTTTCTGTTAAATATTTTTATGAAAGAGAGAGAGAGAGAGATCACAATTTCATAGCAATTGTTTTGTTACAGTTTTCTGTTAAATATTTTTATGAGAGAGAGAGAGCGCAACAGAGCCTAACCAACAGAAAAACGCAAAGCTATAATTTTATAATACAAAGATTAAAGTGTTATTTTTATTGCAATATAACTGTAGTTTTACGACACTTTTGTTAAAGTTATTAACCAACCATGATTATAAATTCCCAAACACTAAAATCAGTTTGGTCAAAATTGTACTTAAATACATTAATTTGTTTATATGTTGATAATTTTGCCTCAGTACTCAACATTCTTATCATTTTACATTTTTTTGTATGTGTAAAACTTTTTGCTCAACACTTAATTTATTACAAGGTAGAAGAGCGGGATAAAATAAACTGTATAAATAAAACTTGACAATCATAATTCAATTGGTCAAATAAAGTGACACAATTTAAAAATTTAAACAACTTTACAAAATTAAACTGATGTTTGTGAATTTAACAAAAATATTAAGTAAAGGAGATTCGCTGACATACACTAACTTATTACTAAATTTATAATGGTACATGGTTTTGCAATTAGCAAAAATTATAATGTTTAAATAAAATGTTACTTATAAAAAGTACTAATAAAATTAAGCAATAAAAAAATATACTGTACATTTAATACATTAATTATAAAATTGGTAATAATAAAATTTGGTAACTTTTATTGATATACTGCATAACATTTCGCAACATGATAATACGTCTAACAACAAAATTAAATTAAACTCAACAATGTTATGTCTTCAATAAACAGGGCATTAATTATGTAACGGCTGCACAAAGCGCATACCACAATAGCTACTGAACCCAACATATATTTATTGGATGCAGTACAATTAAAATAACATGACTAAACGCTCCTGTTCAAAGTTTTAAAATTATAAATTAATAAAAATAATATCGGGACTTGAACTAAACAGTATAAATACGAGTTGGTAGTTTTAGAAAAATAACAATTTTCAATAGTTTTACAATAGCTATGCAACAAAATATAAAAAACAAATTTCATATTAATTTATAATTCATTAATTAAAACCCATGTTAATAAAACAGCTGCTTATAACTTAAATCAATCATAATATAAATATTATTTATAATAATAATAAAAACAACTTTACTTATACTCACTATTTAATTAAAAATGTATTTTCATAAACTAACACTAGTTAGCATAATATTACTGTCATCGCAAATACCATCATCACATTCATGGCCCGACCACGACACAAAAACTCTAAAACTACTACAACTAGTACACCGCCATGGCGACCGAAACACCGAGGACAATTACTTCCCAAACGACCCGTTCGACAAGGAGTTCGACCGCTATTGGCCGGAAGGGGAGGGCCAGCTGTTTGCCGACGGCAAGTACCGCATGTATAAAGTGGGTACATTTATACGCGACTCGTATGGCGAGTATTTGGGCGCCAGTCCGCGACAGGTCTACACCCGGAGCTCCGGCAAAGGCCGGTGCCTGGAGTCGGCGACGCTGGTGTTGGCCGGCGCGTACCCGCCCAACACACCCACCTGGCAGTGGGACAAAGGCGAGGCCGACGCCGCCATTGGCCGCGTGTGGCAACCGATGCCGATCTACACCTACCCTATGGATCAGATCGACACCGACTATATGCTGCGGACAGACATGTCGTGCCCGACGGCCGACGCACTCGAGCAGGAGTTTTACGACTCGGAGCCCACGAAAGCCCTGTTGGCCGAGCATAAGGTGTTTTTGGCAAACCTGAGCTCAATCGTGGGTCTGGAGCTGAAGACACTGAAACAAGTGGCAGACTTTTACGACATATACGTTGTTGAGTGGCAACGGGGGTACCGGTGGTCAACCTATGAGCTCATGGGAACCGAGTGGGAGGTCATGGCGTTGGAAAAGTTGGCCGCCATCGCCACCTATTCATGGATCGGTAGGTATAACATACTGGGTATTCAGCGCCCGCGCGGCGGACTTCTGGTGGAAGAGTTGCTGAAGAATATGGAGAATGCGATCAAATCACCGGACGATAAGTCGCTGAAGAAGTTATACCACTACTCAACACATGATAACTTGATTAACGTATTGCTTCAGTCATACGGTGTGCACAACAATATGATCGCCCGGTTTGGGGCAAATGTATTGCTTGAGTTGCACCAAAAGGCCGATCAAACTGATTATTTTGTGCGCCTTTACTATAATAACGATACACTGAATGCGGGAACAAAGGGTCCGTATTTGATGTCAATACCCGATTGCGGGACCGACTGTCCAATCGACAAGTTTAGGCAATTGTCCCAAAAGGTTATGATTGATGATTGGTTTAAAGAGTGCGGGTTTAGCGCCAGTACTGTCGCAATGCCCTCGTTATACACTGTATTTACCTTAATTATTGTGTATTTTAGTCATTAAATTTAATTAAATTAGTTATATTATTATTAAATGTAAAGTTACAAATTCATATATAAAGTAATTTTGTACTTTATAATGTAATTTCATAAATCTTAAATGTAAACTCAATTCACATTTACTTTTTCTTTGTATAAATTAATTTTATAAATAAAATTTTACTTAAATGCATTGTATTAATTGCCAAAACATAAAAATTGAGGTCTAAATAATCTTTATTTAATTTTACAATTGCTTAATTTGACATTTAATTAGCTGATAAATAAGTTATTTATATATTTTTAATAAAAAATAGTAGACAGGTTCTTTAACCAGCTATAACTAGATCTTACATGTATTTTGATCTCAATAAATATTGTTACAAAATAACAATAATAAAGTCATATAATTTATTATGTGTTATAACTTATTACATTATGAATTAACTATTGTAAAAAAGTACCTTATTTTATTGAATAATCTAATAAAATTTAAACCAAAAATGTTATCTAAATAATTAATGCACTTAAAAGAAATTATTTACCATATATCAGTTAATGAAATAATGATTTTGATAAAATATTTGTTAAACTTTTAGTGCAATTATTATTTGAATTTGATAAACATTATAATCTTAATCATATAAATGTTATATCATTACAGATATAATAGATAGTGATATAAATCTGGTTTAAGATTGGTTTAAAACACAGACACACCACAAACCATACATGTGATTTAATTATTATGTAATAAACTGTTAAGTACATTTATCACTACAATATATTTCATTAACAAACAGGCACCTTATAATGATCAAATCTACCATGATTAATAATTTATTTTAAAATATTTTTTATTGATTTTTGTTACTTATTTAAGAAATGAAAATTTAAAACTTATAAATTGATTGTGTTTTGAAATTATTAATAAATGTTTTAAAAACTTAACTAGATTTATTCATTTTTGATTTTTTACTGTAATTATTGTATTATAACAATCTATTTATAATAACTACTTAAAACCTATTAAAACTGGTTTGTAAATACAGGTTACAATTTATTGTAAATTACATTGGTTAATCACGTGTATTTTGAACCATGCTTATATTGCTTATATCTCAATAAGATGCAGTGCAAAAAATTGTTTATTAAATTATTTCACTTTTAATG